TCCTCCCTCCTTCCCTCCCTCCTCCCTCTTCGCAAGTTCGACTCCGTCCTGTCGTCGCTCTTTGGCATGCGGTTAGCGTTGCGTATCTTGCAGCCGCACTCGCTCACTCTCACTCTCACTCTCACTCTCACTCTCACTTTCACTCTCACTCTCACTCTCACTCTCACTCTCACTCTCACTCTCACTGTCTCTCTCTCTCTCTCATCTCTCTCATCTCTCTCTCATCTCTCTCTCATCTCTCTCTCATCTCTCTCATCTCTCCCTCATCTCTTTCTCATCTCTCTCTCATCTCTCTCTCCTCTCTCTCTCTCTCTCTCTCTCCTCTCTGTCTCTCGTCTTTCCGTCTCTCTTCCCTCTCTTCTCTCGCAGGAGGATCCGGGCAAAGAGCCACATATAAAGGACTCTTCACCTGGAATCGTTTGCCCCGCCCAACTTGTGCAAGGCGTCCTGCCTTCTGCTACTCTGTGCGACTGCCTCCAAAAAGAGCGCCGTGTTTTTTCCTACCTCGCTGCCCTCCACTTTCCCATTCTGGAGCGCTAGCTTTCGCCCCCCCTTGGCCTCAAGTTTTTTGGGTCAGCTTTGTTCTACCAGCTGCTTCTTTGGGATATGGTTGTGAGCCATCGAAGCTTGATGATTGGATATAAGGCAACGCTGCCACAGTGGTTGGTGGACACCCCCTTGCTCCCAAGGCCATCACATCCTACTTCCGTGATTTTGAAGGATACTTTACCACCCCTGGTGATGACCACAGAATCAAGCGTCAGCTGAAGAGCTGACCTTCTGGGGCACCAGGGGGGGCAGCTCACCCTCTGAACACTTTCCGAGACTACACACCGACCGCCGCTGCGACGGTCTCTCTCTCTCTCTCTGCCTGCCACGGAACGGAGGTCGCGAGTGGTTCGTGGTGCGGAAGGCAGAGGTCCGGATGGCGGAAGACAAGACCTTGATCCCTCACGTGAAGATGGGGGTGGAGGCCGAAACATCGCCGGTTGCCACGGTGTTTCGCAGGTTTCGCTGGTCGGGTGGGGCCGAAGAACTTTCAAGTGCGGACCCGACCATGACAGTGTCTCTCCAATCACCACCTCAGGGGGTATGTGGATCCATAGGGATGGTGGCTTCGTGCCGTCTCTAAGGTCGGTCCGGGTTCGTGTCGTTCGTGGCAGGCGCGCGAGCAAGTCCTGACCAAGAATGGTCTCGAGGACGGGAGCTGAGCTGTTGAGGCGCTCACTGGCTCAGGGTATCTCAAAAGAAGTAGGGTTCCATGCCAACTGGTACCGATGAAGAACACATACGTAGGCAATCCAAGCCATCATTTTGGTTGGCGCGGTCAACACGGTCTTCGTGTTGGGTCTCCGCATCCATTCGGTCTTGGGTCTTTTTCTTGGCCAACCGGACACGTTTCATGCTGGCCATGTCGGCAAGTCGACGTTGTCAAGCCTTTGGAGCGCTAGCCCCCCCAGGAACCAACGGGGTATTCGGTATTGGCATTTTGCTGTTGGGTATTTTGTCTTCGGACCAACACTCATGGTCTTTCTAGGGGAAGGCATTTGCTTGACATCCCAACAAAACCGTTGGCCAAATCGACCAGGAGGACGTTGTACACTGAGAGGCTGTGAAGGTACCATCCATTCCAGCCTCCCAAAGGGGCTGTTGGGTCCTCTCCTTGGCCTCTTCAGGATGCTCCGGTGACTCTGCCTCATCACCCTCTGAAGAAGTTTGCGGAGGTCTGGGATTGGTGTCGCTTATTTATTGTTCCCCTGGGTGGCGCAGATAAACCCCTTTTCAGGTCTGGGCCCCTCTTTTGGAGGGGGCACTTTCCACGTTTCTGTGCTTCTTCAGTGGTGTTTCATGATGCCATGAATTTCCATTGACATGGATGCCCATTTCAATATTGCTTCTCTTTTGGTAGTTTCACTATGCCCATTGATCAGAAAAACTTGATTTTCTACGATCCAAGCAAACTGGACGCCGGACTATTGGATTTCCTCCTAACATATATATCTAACATCTTGGCCACCCTAACTCCACATGGCCCGGTCCATCAGAAGATGACAAGAAAGAACGCACACTGGCAGCATCCCCGGTCCTAGTCACGAAGACATGAACACTTGCTTTTCTCGTTTTTTTTTGTTTCTTTTTTTCTCGGGGTCGAACTCTGGATTGTTGGTGTGTTTTCTTTCTGAGCGAACGACTCATGAATTCATTGGCACGACGAGGGGCCAATGCGTGGACCTCACTTGACCTGGTAACGTCGACTTCTTCATGTGGCACCACCGAAGTCCAAGTCGACTCTGTTGGGCACCACAAATTGTACGTCCTTCAGCCGGAATTCTTTTTTCGGACCACCGGATACGCAAATATACGACCCTTTTTTCAATGGTCGACCTGGACTCCGAGGGCTTGTACTTGGATGAGGTATCTCAGGGTCTTGGTGCGCTTAGTAGGTGAGGGAGATCTGACAAGTCGGTGCTTGCGCCATGACAAGCCATCTCCGGCCAATTTGTTGATTCATCTTCCGTGAAATGCGGAAGAACATTGAACCTTTGGCAACTCATGCGGCATCCCTTGTGTCACCTCTATGTCTTGGGTCTCAAGCTTCAGGGGACCACTGATTGTCACACTGATGGTCCATCTTAGTCAGTCCCCTCTGGGTTTAGCCAGCCATACAGAGATTTCTTGGACACATCGGTCCGCTCCGCTCGTGCTCCGCACCCGCCACCCGCCGAAGCTCGTGGGCGCTGGAGGCCTTCTCGAGGCACTTCGACCTGATCGCCGAGCGAAAGAGCGTGATCTTCCACCTGAGGGAGTTGGCCAAGGCCGTGCGGAGAAGGACGCGTCCTAGCCGTGCAAACGACGAATGGGACTGGAATGGGACTGGAAGATTTCCGTTATAATACGCAGTATAATATAGTATATATGATATTCAAGCCAAAAACGATGAATGGGACTGGATGGGACTGGAATGGTCTGGATTGTTATTTAGAGTATAGTAATAATAGATCATTGACCCTGAAATCAACCACCCCAATGGGGATGTAAGATCTATGCCCCGCCCCCATGGAGTGTCTCGGAACGCCCTGTGAAACGCCGGCCAGCTCCTCACCCCCCCCGCCCGAGCCGTGCTGGTGGTGCCGTTGGCCGGTCTCCTTCAACAGCGGTTGGGGGACCAGACCAAGGTCTGGTCCCGGACCTGGTCCCAGTTGGCAAGCGATGATGTCTTTGGTCCAAAAAAGACATCGCTTACATGACATGGCCTTGTTTTCTCACACAACTGTGCCATCCACTCATCCATTCTGCACAACAACAGCTTTTGTTCTCCACCCCCCCCGCGTCCCGCAGTTTCTCCGGTGATCGCGCTTTCGGCAGGCCTCCGTGATGGCCAAGTACTTGGTGGACTCCCGCGCGCGGGTGGACCCCAGCTGGTACGCCTTGGCGGATGAGATCGTAAAGACCACCACCCCCGAGGCGTGGTTTGATGGACCACGCAGAGAGACGGACGTTTGGCTTAGAGGACGCGAGTCCTGCAGGGGCCTATTAGTGAATGAAGCCAATAGTGGAAGATAGACTCCTATAATCTCCTATAGGTGAGAGGAGATGAAGAGTTTTCTCCATCTTTCCTTTGCTTTCAGAGGGGTTTGTATAACTTATCATTTGACTGGATGCTTCAGGGCCGGCCTATTCGGCCGCGAAGCGAATCGGTTCCGTGCCCATTCGTATGGTGTACAAAGTGGTTTGCTCTTGTCCTTTAGAGATGCTAATGCACTAACTGCCTAGAATCCTAGAACCTGATTGACCCCTGTTTTGGAGCCAAAACATGGTCTTTTCCGCTTTTCCCATCAAAACAGAGGTCAAATGGGTTCTAGGTGTGTTCTTGGGATATTGTTTGAATAGCGGAGGCGCACCCGGAGATCCCGCAGCTGTGGAACATGCGCGGCAACTCGCGCATCAAGCTGAAGAATGGCCGGTTGATTGACATGGTGACAGGCCCCTTGGTCAGAGTAAACACTGTCTAAGCAAACAAACATGGATGGTCTGTCACTGAGTGAGAGACGACCATATTCTGGTTTTCATGGGCGTTCGCTCCACTTTTGTGTCTTCGCCATCTTCGTCTTTGGGGCGACTGTGACCGTGTTTGGAATTCTGTATGATTCGGTGTGGCCGTCTTCCTCAAACGGCTTCTTGTTGTGAGACTCAGGTGGACAGAGCTCCTTACAGGCCATCTATGGTGGCGTGGAGCTACTTGGCTGCCTACATTTGGTGGTCGGTGGTAAATGTCAGCCATAGTTGCTTCTGTAGAGCCTTTTGACCACACCACCTTCTCCCTCCGACACTGGCAGACTCTGGAACACCCCACCACCCCGAAGCGCTTCACCGCCGTGCCTCACCGCGCGCCGAGGTTTGGCTTGGACCGCTTTGAGCTCGCTCAGCGACATGCCCTCCAGGGGCAGCCAGGAATGCAACTGGGCCAGTCAGGCACCGCACTGCGCACGGCGCGTTGTCCGTTTTGGGCAGTCGGAGAGGAAGGGGCGGAAGGGGCGATCGCACGAAGGAACATCGAGGGGCATGACCGGCTTGAACTGGAGAGCGAAGGAACTCGGAGTTGCAATTTGTTTGTTTGGTTGGTTGGTTGATACATGGACCCCGTTTAATTCTTTTGCAGAACTCAAAAGTAGGTGCTTTTCTTTTTTTTCAGGTTTGGTTTTCAGGTCACAACATCACGTGAATTGGGCTTCGTAGGTCGCATTGATATCATCGGAGTTGACGAAGTCCGCTCGTGAATTCGTTTCCAACACGTGTGAACCATCAGGACTTACAAGGGTGACGTTGGACCCAGATGGCAAGATTGATCACTCGCTATGCGGAATTTAGAGAAGGTATCGACATTGCGTTCTACTGCATAAAATCAGGATATGAATTTTGTGAACAGTAGACTGTGGCTATCCCTCATGCGGGTGGTCAAATCAATACGCCATCATGTGCTGGTGCAACTGACCCCTACCCACATCAATTTGTCAGAAGTACAACTCACTTCCCACAGTTGGGTCCTATCACCTGTCAAGATACCGCCATAGATCTTTAACATGTTTTGCTTCACATCAGCTCCATCCTCCAGGCCGTCCAATGTTCATGCCGCAGCGCTTCCAGCTGGGACAGCGGGAGATGCCACAAGGCCCGGCGTAACAATGGAGGGCTGGGTGATGAAACTTACGTAGGGGTGTGCGTCAAAACCCGAAGAATCCTCGGCAATGTAGACTCTTGATGAACAAAACGATTTCAAGATCGTCAAGCCTCTCTTTTCGTAGGGGGTCGAACTATATTCAGTTTGTATACACTATAGTAGGAGGGTTCCTCCTCGACTCCTTCCGCCTCTCGGCGGGTCGGGCCAACCCGAGCGATCGGTCCCGTTGGCGCGGTTCGAGCGGTGCAGACGGTGGTTCGTGCGTCTGACGTTCGTGGCGGTCGCCGAACGTCGGGGGTGCCGTGAAAGGCAGAGGGCGATGTCTGAAGATCCTTTTTATAGTGCCCTTCAGTATACCTCATATACCTATGAAAGGCCGTGACGGACAGGGACCGCAAGTCGCGCTATAGTGCCTTCAGTATACCTCATATACCTAGAGTGGGTGTGGGAAAAGGCCGATAGAAGGTGTCGCTCCACTCCAGGTTGAAAACAGGGACCGAGCGTGGAGGGTTGGCTCCGAGTCACATCACCAAGTGGCCCAATCTTTCGGGTTGTGGACGTTGCGCAGCTAGTATATCACTCAGGATGAAGGGACCAGTCAGCTTCAAAGGCCCCTGCCGGTGTTCAGAGGTGACTTGGGGGCGTCCTTCATCGATAGAAGGTGCTGTCTTCATCTCCACGTGGATCGCCTGGGACTCCCCCCCCACCCGGTGCTTTTGAGGCCGTCGATCCGAGTGTGCGGTGTGCGGTGTTTCTTTCGCTTCGACCTCAGGTGTCGACCTGAACTTGGACAAGTTCTCGCTCTCTTCAGAGGAGACCGACGCGGAGACCGACATCAACGGATGTTTTCCTTTTTTTCGGGGCGGACGAGGTTCACTCTGGATCAAAGGTGGTGGAGGATGCAAAGGGATGGACATACTTGAGGCCCCCGAAAGGGGTGTAGCAGTGTAGCAAAATGGAGACTTCAACTCCAAGGATTCTTTAGAGTGGCAACCCAGAAGAATCGAAGTATAATACAGCCCTCTGGGGATCGAGGCTAAGATGGGGGTACTTGGCCCCCTGGAAGGAGATAGATCTTAGCCAGGGGGCCGACCTGATTTTGAAGGTCAAAGGGGGCCGACCTGATCCAAACAAGAAAATTATGTTAAAAATAAAATCAGTCTGAGTCTATCTCGACTTGGATCTAAGGTTGGCTACCCCCCTTTTATCAGAGGGATTTTCAAGAGAGGTTGGGTTGGACCCCTCCATTTTATTTGGAAACTGATATTGGACAGTTATTGGACCAGAGAGAGACCATTGTGTGCAAACAGGGGGGTACAAAGGGGTACAAGGGTGACAGAGACCACTGGCTAAATTGGCAAG